CAACTCCCTCCTGGTCCACCCTCCCATAATCCCACAGTTCATCATCCCATTCCTCCTCCCCCCTGCCTCCAAGGGGATGTTCACCTCACCCCTTGTCAGGTCTCCCCATTCCCGGGGCCTCAAGTCTATTGAGGGCTAGTTGCATCTTCTCCCACTGAGGCCAGACCTGGCAGTTCTCTGCTGTATATATGTCAGGGGCCTCAGACCAGCTCATGTATGCTACCTGGTTGGTGACTCGGTGTCTGAGAGATCTCAGGAGTCCAAGTTAGTTGATATTCCTGGTATTCCTGTGGGGTCACCCTCTTCCTCAGCATCTTCCAGCCTTTCCCTAATTCAACTACAAGGGTCCCTGACTTCAGTCCAATGATCCGTTATAAGTATCGGTGTCTGTCTCAGTCAACTGCTTGTTAAATTATATTTTTAAAAAACCTCTTAGTGTCTGGTCTAATGAAAACACATTCAATAAGCCTTGTCTACACACAAAACCCTATTAGACACGTTGGGGGAGGTGATGAAGATGATGCTGACACAGGTAAGGAACTAACCCTCACTGAACAGAACAATCGAGAACATTCATGCTCGGAATCACATAGTGCAAAGAAAAATGCCAGAGACAGGAAGGTCTGTGGGGTTGTGTTCAGTGAAGACCACCTCAGGGGGTGGAGGGTGAGAACTGAGAGCCAAACAATGAAGTCATCTCAAGAATCTGTCCATCCGTACATGTTTTCCAATACCCGCTGATTAGGATCAACTAGCAAATTTTGCCCACAGATTTTTCTTTCTATATATGTGAAGTTAAAATGCCTTCACTTTCCTTTGTACTTATTCGCGTGTGGGTGTGTGTAGAAAGATGGGGAGAGAGAGAGAGAGAGAGAGAGAGAGAGAGAGAGAGAGAGAGAGAGACTCTGTGCGCACACACATATGCTAAGGCATTTGGAGGAGAGGTGGTGTTGAAGGACAAGTGAATGGAAGTCAATTCTCTCCTTCTACCAGGTGGGTTATGGGTATTAAACTCAGATCCTCAGGCTTGGGAGACACTGACTTTACATGCTTAGACTTCTCCACACCCTTAAGAGTTCCTTGCCTTAACATTATCCTTTGGAATACTCCCCAGTATCAGTGCAATATGTAAATATTTACCCTTTTCTATATTTGAAATTATTAATGTCATCTCCCACTTTAGCCAGTAGTAAAAATAAGCCACATGCACACGCTGAGGCTTAATCTTTTCTGTATTTGATTCGGTCAGAAAATATTTGTTGTGGGAAATGGTACATGCTGGTATCTTCCAAATGTAAAGCTAAGCTCAGATCCAAACATTTTTTCTAACATTGATACTGCACTTTTCCTAGCGTAATTACACATCAAATGTGATGAGTTAAAATCAACCTGAAGGAGAAGAATAATAACTCTTTGTCCTTTTATTCACAGTATCATTCAGGAAGTCATAGCTAAACCTTGATTTTTATCACAATGTGTTCCTGCAAAGTCTAACCTGAGGTAGCCACAGAGCAGACTATACCCCCACCCCCTTCACCACTACCTGCCCGCAAGGAACAAAGCTACCGTTAGGACCATGTGGTTAAACATTGGGGAGTCTCCATAACAAACCTCCAAAAGCTAGAGTATAGGACTGAGGAGAACATCAAAGATCATGAATCCTCACCTTGTTCTACTCCTCCACAAGACTTTTGTCTTCTAGGAGACAGTGAGTTTAAGGCCCACTGGTTAGCCACAAAGCTAGGACCAGCAATCCCTGTAACCTAGCTCTTATTCCACTGTGTTTATTCATTTCTTAAAAAAAAAATTCTATCCTGTGATCCAGATGGGTCAAGAGCTGGGCACACTATCAGTGAGGTAGGGGAGCTGTATAGTCTGTGCAAGAAAATCTAATGTTGGGAGCCGCGGCAGGTGCTGGCAAAGTCCGCCATCGCTAGGTGGCGCTGTCAGCCATAATTCTTCCTAGTAAACAAATAAAGTGTGCATGTGCCATGTAAAGCCCGCCAAAGCTAAGCCCATCCCACGGCGTTTGGCGCGCTACGAGTTTGCGGCCAATCAGAGATGATTACGCCGCTCTAGGGTATATAAGGGCTTTTCCCAGGGCTGGGAGTCGTCTTCTACCACCATTTTGGTTTATGGGAATAAACGTGTTTCTACGGAAGGATTCTGGTGTGTGTGTGTGTGTGTGCGCGTGTGTGTATGTTTTTGCCGGCGAGACCACTACACGCGCGCCCCGCACAATCTAAAGAGTCTGAAGCAGAGATTCTCATTCAACTGGCTGTGGTCAGGCTCAGTGGGAACTCCAGACCAGGGTTTACACCATTCCCTCCACACAGGCACTTAAACACCATTTGAAGAGTCCTAGAAAGACCAGCTAGAGAAGTGTAAGCAAGGGCTGAATCCACCAAAGGCAGTGAGGGGTTGATGCAGGCTGTGTGCCAGGGTTGGAAGCATGATGCTGGAAGTCTGAGTGTGCAGTCTCCCACTGTGCTATCCACAAAGACTCCCATCCTCCCTTACACAGACTGATACAGCCGGAGTGGAACCAGCTGCAGAGGTGGGATCAAAGGCTGGGACCACGCCAGAGTATACATGTAACACAAATTGGACTTGAGGGGCAGGAGTATTAAGAAATAAATAAATAAATTAGAACCTGATGTTGGGGGATAGAGTGAAAGAGTAGGTCTAAGAGAAGTTACAGGGGAGGAACTTGGGGTAAATAGGATCAAAATATGTTACATGGAATTGTCAAAGAATATTCAATGAATATTCAAAGAATATTCAATTCTTTTAATTTTCTAAGAGAAAAAGAAAACACATGTATTAATGAATGCAGTTCTAGTAGCTAACGGGTGTTTCTCTGGTGTAAGTTATTTTGATGTAACCTTATAGCAAGCTGGAAATCACCAGAGTTCTTTACCTGCATTAGAAAAGTTTGCAATTCGGTGAATGGACTTCCAATAACATCTGCGTTAAAGAACTGTTGTAGCCATTCAAGGTCATCTTCAATGACCCTACTTGTGGGAAATTCATAGACAAGTGGCATCTTTGACCTGTGTGCCCAGAGTTGTATCTGTGTAATTCATGAAACTGTTGTCAAAACGTGTACACCCACACTGCTAGAGAGTAACACATCGCCCCAGTGTGCACACAAGTCACCAAGGCAGATACTAGGAGTTAAGTGGATGGACAAAATCAGAAGTTCGGGGATGAGCAGATGGAGGAGTTCAGGGTCTCCCACACAACAACATAACATGGAGACTTCTCTGAATTGTCCAAATACATCTCTAATAGCAGGCACCATCACACTAGCTCAAACCCACGTTTTCTCAGGGTCCGCCAATCACAGAAGGCTCAGAGGACAAGACAAGAGCACTACAACTGTTGCATGCATCTGCTTTCTGTGAACATGCCAGCAGCCGTCAGTCCTAATGTGGGATTCTCTCTATGTATGTCTTCTAAATGGATCCACAGAGTGGTTTCTAATGGAAACTATGTATCCACATCTTCAAGGCTGGAATAAAAATCAGAATGGAGCCCAGAACGGAAGCTATCAGAAAGAGCCACAGGAAGATGCGGTCAAGAACTTGAGCCACAAATTTCCAGTCTTGCACTACCTGCAAAAGAGAAGAGAGCATCTTTTATTTAAGAGGTTGAGCAGCTTTTCTGAACTCATTAAGGATTGTAAATAGAGTAATATTGGATTTAGGACACTTTTAAGTTCTGAAAATGTATCTACACATCACTTGATGGTGTGGGCTTGGATTCTAGCCAGTGATTATTTTTTAACTTTTTTTTTTTTTTATGGTCTAGCCGTTGCCTGCCTCTGGACAAACGGATGTCTTTAAAACATTTGTTATTAAATGTCATGAGATTTTCCTCCTACTCCACAAGTGGTTGTGGCTCCTATTGATCTAGAAGATGGCACTGAGAAAGAGAAGAAATAACAGGTATTATAGGAGAGGGGTCTATGAAATTTTTAGTTAGACAGAGACATTGTGGGAGAATGGATACCAGCCTGGAAGAGCAGGTCCAGGAAATAACAAGCCATGGGCTGGTGAAGCTGTCAGCAGTTTCACAGAGAGTTTCCAAGTACAGTCATAAGAAAAAAAAATACACTCAATGGAAACCACTTAAAAGAAGAAAGATCTTGAAAGAAGAGTGGGGAGAAGGACACTGATGGAGAGACTAATGACAAGGTAAAATGTAAGGCATGCTTCCAGAAACATTTTCATTAGCCTGTGTGAGAGCCTTGGCCTAATTTTCAAGAATTTTGCAAGTAAAATGACTTAGCCTTGCCTGCAGTCGGTATGAAGATAAAGGCCGCTTTTGTCATGTCTTCCTCATCATGTTCTTTAAGGTAGGCTCCAGGAAAACAAAGTTCTGGCCAAGTAACAAGTCCCTCAGAATTAGGGATGCATCTGTGCTCAGAACGGTGGTGCCTCTAAACCTTAGGCATTTCTGGTTTTGAGACAGGCTCTCGACCCATGAACCATGTTGCTCTCAAACTGCTGGCATCCCAGAATCAACTTACCCAGCTTCCTTCTTGTTTTCTGTAATGTGTACACTAAGTAACCAGATCCTTCTCCCTGGGTGAGGTATCTGTTACAATTTGAATTCTTTCTATTCACTAAACACATTCCTAAACATTGGGTTTAAAAATATCATGGCATGAAGAAGTGAAAATTACCATAGACCAGGGTAATCCATTTAAAGGTGTAATTGAGTTCTAGAAAACAGAATTGAGGGATTACGAATGATGCTAAATCTGTAGCTGATTGTTTTTAGTCATTATACTTCTGTGAACTTTTTCCTTAAAGATGTAATGCTAAAATTCCTCTGATTTGCTAGGCTTGTTCTACATGGTTTGTGTGCATAGGGTAGCTGGCAGTGCCGTTGTTAACAGGGACTACATTCTGCTGTAACACACACCTCCTGTGCGCACCTCAGTTACAGTCCTATCACCTCGAAGCACACTCACCTGACTGATGAAGTGTTCCTTCTTCACATGCCTCGAAATGTATCTAATCGACTCTGAGGCCTTCTCCAGGAAAGCGACCAGAACTCTTTCTCCATCACTAGTAGGTGTCTGTTTCTTCTTCCCTGGGACTTTCCCCCTCACGGCTGCCTTACTCTCCTTTCCGTCAGGGAAAGAGAAGCGGTCCATGGGGTCCTTCATGCAAAGCCACCTCGGGAGTCTTTGCAGAAACAGCCTCTTCACCCAGGGGGCCATGGGATGGTACGTTGAGGAAGATCTGTGGTGGACATTAATTACAAAAACTGTGACAATGATTGACAGCGTGACAAAAATCATAATGAAGAGGAGGTACTCGCCAATGAGAGGGATGACTTTTGAAGAAGACGGGATTATTTCTTCAATTACCAAAAGAAACACCGTCAAAGATACCAAAACCGAGGTGGATAATGAGAGCTTTTCCCCTTCGTCGGAGGGCAGGTAGAACACCAGGACAGTGAGAAAAGACAGCCCCAAGCAGGGGATTATCAAAAAGAGGGTGTAAAAAAGTGGCAGGCGTCTCAGAACAAAAGAGTAGGTAACAAACGGATAGGAATAAAAGCCTTCTCTTCTGTTACCCTTCATCCCCTTTGCGTTCAGTATCTCCCACTCTCCATTATCAAAAAAGTCTTTCCGGTCAACGTTTTCATTGATCAGAATGAGGTCAACCATGGTACCATCGTAAGTCCAGGACCCAAACTTCATTGAGCAGTTCTGCCTGTCGAACGGGAAAAACGTGACATCCATGGTGCAGGAACTTTTGTAGCTGGCGGGAGGAGTCCAGCTGACGGTTCCACTGGATTTCACAATGGCCTTGGTCATGAGGGAGCCCTCAAAACGTCCGTCAGCACTGCCATGAAAGTAGTTACCTGTTAGTGGATGGCTGGACAATCTACATTGCCTCCCTTTCCTACCATAATGTCAAGTCATGCTTTACAAAGAAATCACTTTGATATATAGTTAATTATTCTGCCCAAATCAGACTCTCGGTACCTGGTGTTAACCTGACCAATGCGGTATTCTTCTAAGATACTTACTTTTCAAAGAGAACTATGTCGGGAAGCCAGATCGATTCCGATGGAACCTTTATCGAATTAATTCCACCATATTCTTCCGGATTCCATCGTAATTTTTGGTCTGTCCATTCCTGCATGAAATGGGTGTGCAGTAACTTTATGCTGAAAATTCGGTATCAATTTCTTCAATTTACCAGTCCATCATTTTGTTACAAAAGGGACTTTCACCCAGGTTAGAACGTGGCATCCTATCTAGGATCCAGCGCGGCTTTAGGATACAAAGTAAGCCAGCCTGGCCTCTGAACCTCCTCATGCCCGAGTATGAGCCAGTGAGGAGTCAAATCTCAAAGGGTATCGATTCGTGCTTTGTGTTTTTCCTCTTTGCTCTTAAGAAACAAACAAGGAAAGCCACAGCTGTGTGTGTGTGGGAAGGTGCTTGTCTCTAGTCCCAGAACATGGGAAAGTAAGCCAAGAGGATCCTGAGCTCAAAGCCAACCTGATTTACTCAGTCAGACCCTTTCTAAAAACTAATAACCATCTCATCGAGTTTATTCCAGGAGGATTGTCTATTGATCTTTCAGTCCGTTGACAATGGGAATGTATGATCTTGGCCTGTTACTGTGAAATGTTCAGCTCTGCTGACAATTCCTGAGGGCACTGTCACCTTTAGACACTGCGAATGGACAGAGACTTAACTTTTATACTCTATCTAAACTGATTTTGTAAACTCCTAATTAGCATTTTAAATCATGTCCCTAATATTCTGGGCCTCCATATGTTTAATTTTTTTTTCTTCAAGCACTAGAAGGGTTTACCCAGTGTGAGGCTTCCTGGAGAACAGTGATGCCATCTAGGTCATTAAAAAATCAGGAATTGGCAGATGGGTGACTTAATTGGATGGTAAAATACTGAAATATGTATGGTGTCTTAAAAAGTGCAAATTGTTCTCTAAATATTTATGTTTATACCTATATCTTTGTGAGGCTTGCAACTTTGGTCAAAGAAGCTTTGTTTCCAGTAGATAGTGGTCAATCTGTGGACACCTAACTGTTCAAAGTGTTCAGAATAAGTGACTAGAACTGATCAACGGTAGATAAAATATCTATATCAACCTCTCCAAACCCTGCCACCCCACCTGTGGCTCAGGGAACATCACAGAAGTGGGGACAGGAAAAGTATAAGAGCCAGAGATCAGGGTTGAAACAATGTCTCCTGGACATGACAGGGGGATGCTCTCCTGAACTCACTGTAGCTGTGGTTGTCTGCACAAAATGTACACAAGATGAAGCTAGTCGGTGTTCCTGTGTAGAAGGGTAAGGGACAGCCAAGCTCCCACCCGACCTGAGTAGCTATTGACAATGATGGCTGCTAAGGGACAGAGGATCTGTTTTCTTTAGGGGTACAGCACCTGGTAGGTCAGCCGTGCCCCAGTGGATAGCCCCACACCCATGCCTATAGGTACCACTAATCAGACTCGGGGTTATAGAAAACAAGATGGATATATATATATATATATATATATATATATATATACACACACACACACACACACAATGAGTGGGGGGAGGATCCTGGAAAGGGTATGGAAGTGGGAAATAAATAACATAAATAAAATACACTGTCCACAAGTATGAATTTCTCAGAGAATAAATTTGTAATATTTTGCTTTGGATTTAATGTAGTCAGAGAGAGATGAAGGCTTGGTTTGGTGTAGAAAACCGTTACATCAAACTGTCTTTTGTATTATTTCCTGTTATTTTTGGCAAAGCAGCTTACATGGATTTGTTTGGAGCACAGGGAACACATGTCTAGTTATAGCTGGCATTTTCATCTGTGTGTTGCTTAAATAAATACTGATTTATTATCTCTAAACAAAGTTCTAGGATGGGTGGAGGAGGAGCTACTGAGGCATCTCTCCTCTCCTGGCTTTCAGGGGTTGGGGGTTGGGGGTTGGGGGGGGTCATTGGCAGTTGATGGCTGCTGGAGGAAGAAAAAGAAATTTTCTTTGCTGTACAGCCATGGTGCATTGATTATGCCCCAGTGTATGGCCCAATACCAGTGCACATATGGGCAACAGTAATTGGATTTGGTGACAATATAGATAGATAATAGAAATAGAGAGAGAGAGAGAGAGAGAGAGAGAGAGAGAGAGAGAGAGAGAGAGAGAGGAAGTATGCTGGGGAGGCCAGACAGAATTCAAGTGAGAAGTGGACAGTGGATATGACCAAGCCATAAGGCTCCTATATGAAATCTTCAAAGAATAAATTAAAATACTATTTTTTAAAAATAAAATAAACTCAAAGCTCCTGATAAATAACAGGATCTGAGCAAATGTGACATCTCTCTACTTTGAACACGGAAACATGACCCTTGAGAATTTAGAATCTAAAATAGTTAGAATACTGTTCAACTATGAGAAAGCCTGCTTAGAAGCCTGGCTACCTAGAAGCCAGACTAATTAGAACATATATGAGATTTCTCTCATCATTCTCGGGCTTCTCTGTTTCCGTAACCCCATTTGTAAGAGCACACACAACTCCCTCCTCGTGACTTCCTTATGTCCTTCTGAGACACAAGGAATCATCTTGGAATTATCAGAGGGTCCAAGACTCACACACAGTAACATGTTTATTTTGCTTCGCTCTACTTTCTCCTCATTTGCCATGGAGAAGTCTGTTCACAATAAAATTCCACGCCTGCCTGGCTCTGCACGCAGATGGTCACATGGCCAGTGCATCACCACCTGCTAAGACTTTCCTGTCCCTTGTGTGCCACTGTGTCTTCTGAAGTTTTAAAATAGTTATTCAAGGTCTCTTTGTAAGGCAGGCTTCACTCAAATGCAGGCATCTAAGAGTTAAAGCCAGAACTAGGACTGGGGGGTGGGGTGGGGGGAGCTCTGTTTTCTAAAGCCCCCAAGTTGCTTCTGTGCGATTAAGGCTTGATGATGCTCTTACTGTTTAGCCATGTGGACAGGTGACCTTAATCTGTTACATCTCATCACAAAATAATTTAGATTTAACTCTTTTGCAAGATATTTGGGACTGCTCACAAATGTGCTCTCGTAAGTTACCAGCAGGAAGAGCAAGAACCGAAGATTACTTTATCCGTGTGTCTTCATGAGGAGTCACTTTCTTACAAACTTAAAATACTGCTGACTGTGCTCAGTCCCATATGCAGAAAAGGGATTTGGCAGCAAAAGAATTTAAGCTGTGTTTTAAATCATAAAGCTATGAAGTATTTGATATAGAAACTAAAATAATTTTTGTCTAGGTTTAAATAATATTGAAAGGGATTTGAATGTAAATTTACCTAAAAGATTTTCCTGTGGTCAAATTTTAATATCCTGATATTATTAGAAACCAGTTCATGCCTAAAGCGACACACTTTCTGTTTTGAAAGATTTATGTGTTTACTTGTGTGCGTGTGTCTATATAGTATGTGTCACACATATGCAGGTGCCCACAGAGGCCAGAAGAGACTTAGCTGACTTGTGAGAGTAGCAGGCACATTTAGTCACTGAGTCATCTCTTCAGCCCAGTGAATAAAGCTTTCTTTAAAAACACTTCTTTGTTGGCCCAGCCTGTGGTGGCGCACGCCTTTAATCTCAGCACTCAGGCCAACTTGGTCTACAGAGCTAGTTCCAGGACAGCCAGGACTACACAAAGAAACCCTGTCTTGAAAAACAAAAACAAAACAAACAACAACACTCCTCCACTCTGTTCTTAGCTACATTTGCTAGACTTGTATGCCTTGTGCTGAGTTGGCAATACCTTTGACTACTTCAGAAACTAAAGTCTTTCAAAGGAACAATAGTTTAGACTACTTTATTGACTCAAAAGTAAAGAGAGATGTGGTGTCTCTATGATGAAAAACAGCTATGCGTACAACTTTAGTTGTGGGATGGGAAAGAATATATCATGTGAACATTTTTTTAAAAAAAAAATTAAAACTTTATGAAGAGGCTTACAGAATTAAAGACTTGTAAGTTTAAAGCACACCAAGTGACCAGTTGAGCCCTCCTTTTACCGTGAGTTGTATGTCATACCATGAGTTGTATGTCAAACTTTAACATATAAACTGGCTAGTAAAATTTGGTAATTCGACTATTTCTAAGCCGTATAATTCAGGTGGAACCCAGCCATTTCAACAGTCTGTTGATTTAAGTCTGTTCTACCTTTATTTGCCCTGACTCAGCAAACATTTTATCGTATACAAAATGTGCTAGTTCTTCAGAAAAAGGTTTTATTGGCACTTATCACCTCTCTCTCCTCTCTCTCTCTCTCTCTCTCTCTCTCTCTCTCTCTCTCTCTCACACACACACACACACACACACACACACACACACACAAATTCACACACACACACACAAAATCACTCACAGAGTCATGGGGACAGATTTTTGTCCCAATGACGAGGAACACACCAAACCACAAGATGGGTGGCAAACAATATCTTCAGAGAAAATTATTTAGAGACAAAAGAGAAAATTTATCAGACTCAAGATGAAATCATAGCAGGTATGGTGGTGGCCCAAGCCTGTCATCCCAACACTCAGGGAGCAGAAGGGTCATGAGTTTGAGCCCACTGAGCTACCTTGTCTCAAAGCCCAACAAAGCCTGAGGAGGTTGCTTGTGTCCTGGATGAAGCAATAGTAAAACCTTGTCAGATCATGAATACCAACAGAGTCTCGATTTCTAATGCGGGTTTGTCTAAGAACCCCTAAATTCTCTTGAACAAAAAGGGGTAAGAGATGAAACAATTTTAGAAACGCTGTTCAAAGGGAACTGAGGCAAGCCCCAAGGGAGTATTACTAAGTCAGAAGAGTTGCCCTTACTTTCTGCCCTCCGGCACAAAGATCAATAGCGGGGATAGAGACGGAAAAGGAAGCAGCTGCCGGGACTAACTCTGCTTTGGGGATTTCACTGTGTCACAGAGTGCACCACGTTAAGTGGTACTGAGCGCAGTGGGGGTCCCCGACACTATGAGCTCCCCGCCTGAGACTAACTCACACAAGCCACAGATGGTGCTGGGAAAGAGATGGTGTGAGCATTCTGAGGAGAAGATGCTCACAGCTGAAATGGGATGGATGGGGAGTCCGGGCGTGGCTGGTGGGGCAGGTTAGGGAATGGGTGGTGGAGCAGGGTACCGGAAGGTGCTGGGAAGAATAAAGATGGATGAATGGATGAAATGCATTTGGACCTTGAACATGACGGTGCAGAATGTGAGGGGTCACGACTTTGTCCTTCCTCGTGTGGTTTCAGCAAGTCAGTTGATAAGATATTTATGACCCCTCCCCCCGGGATTTGATTACTCTCTGAAAGTTCAAAGAAGAAAGACAAACGAGTCTGGAGAATAAAATCAATAGAGCAAAAATAGGTCCAGCTAGAGGGAGTCCTGTACATATGACAGTGTGCTTTGTAAAAGTCAGTGGTTGGGAGGGGATTTCATTGCCTAGTATGGGAAGCAAAGTGGGAAAAGGAGAGAACTGAATGCTTTAGTCTTCATTGTTATTAAGGTATGCCAGAATGTCTGGGAAGGGTTTCCACTGGTTTGCTTAGGTGTGAGAGCCTTGTGAAGTCATAGGAATTATTAAGAAGACTGTTTGTGTGATTCACAAGACCCACTCCTACCTGGTTTGTGGGACTTGTGTTTGACCTTGACACCCGAGTTAGACCCCTCTCTTCTTGCAAGCATTCCCTGACTTTCCCCCCATCTCGGTGGCACCTTCATGGAATCACGGTCCTGATACAAATCTATTAATGTTCAGCACCTTACAGTAACTAGCCCTCTGTTGCCTCCTGGAAGACAGGGCTGGGTTTTATTTTCTCTAGTCTCCTAAGATCTTGTGTAATACCTGTCACTTAGCAGACTCTCATAGTGTTCAATCTTTATCAGACATCACCTGCCCAGTGTGACCCCTGCCCCATGCTGTCCCACCCCTGAGAAACAGTGCCATGGGAAGACACACACCCACCCAGTCACAGGGCTACTCTCCTGTGCTCACAGCTGAAGTTAAAACAGATCCCTTCCCTTGCATTCCTAAATCTTCCCTTAAGGAATCCGGCATGCTGTCTAGAGTACTTCCAGATGGCAGTGTGTGCAAATAGAAAGCAAATGTCAGTGCCTGGGCTGGCTGGCAGGCACAGCCTTGGACTGGTCCTCACCTGCTTCAGCCACACATTTGTTGTCATCAGCTGATTCTTTTCATCCTAAGAAAGGGACAGTTAGAAAGTCCGGACGTTAAACAGAGTCTCCTGGACATGTCAGGGAAGCTGCACAAAAAGCAGTTGCAATGGTGTGCATAGAACCTGTGTAAGCCCAAGGCAGACCAAACCCAGTGTCCAGGTGGACACTGGCAGGAAATTCCATTGCTAGCTATGGAACTATTGGCCATTGTTAGACAGTGGGAGATGAAGAGACGGTTTTCTCCGAGAGGTTGGATCTCGTTAAACCACCCATAACACACCCATCAAAGAATATTTAGGCATCATAAATTGGTGTTGGGAGGGGGGCTGTTTCAAGGGTTTCGTGTTGGGTGAACAGGGTTGGGAGGTGAATCTGAGGACAGACGAGGGCCGTATCAAAGCAACTTGTTTGAAACCCTCAAAGAATTCATGAAGAATTTTAATAGTTAGCCATTAAAATGGATGAAAGTGAAGGGTTTCATTTTTTTGGGGGGGGGATTTTTTTATTAGGAAGAATCCTGAGTCTTACTTTTGGAAGCGTTCAAAATCCAAAAGATTCAAAGATTCCCAGCTTAAGAACAAGTCAATGGTAATGTGACCTTAAAGTATTCTGCATATTTTACTCAAATGAAAGCAACTATTAAATCAATCTGTAATTCATTATGGGGATAGTTTCAGCCACTGAACAACTCAGAAGACTTTGAGAGGTACAAAGAAGTCAATGATAGCTGGATTTAAGAAAAACTACGCATAATTTCCCAGAAGGAAGCCTGAGTTATTTACCCAGCCTAGGGAGTAGAGGGGCAGGGGCTTGAGCCATGTGGGAGAAGTACTCCACGGTTTGGGGGACCACAATAGAATGAGTTCCTACATTTGGGCAGTTTAAACCTACAAGTTTCTCCAAACATAAATATAGCAGAAATCTGAGCCTAAGGGGGAAGTAAGCAGAGATGCAAAGGTATGGGTGAGTTCAAGAAAAGTGAGGAGTCCCCTGGCGAGCATGTGGCCCTAACAGGATACCGCCATCACCTCGGCTTCCTCTAAGTCTGTGGTTCTCAACCTGTGGGTCTCGACCCCTCTGGGGGCAAACCACTGTTTCACAGAGCTCTCCTAAGGCCATCAGAAAACACAGATATTTGTATTACTATTCCTAACAGTAGCAAATTTACAGTTATGAAGTAGCAATGAAAATAATTTTATTGTTAGGGGTCACCACCACATGAGGAACTCTATTATAGAGGGTGGCAGCATTAGGAAGTTGAGAACCACTGGTCTAGGTACAGGAGCCCTGACAGCCAAGTGCATAGGCAGCAAGGATCTGGAATCTCACCTGTCACCCTGTACTTCACTCTCCCTTCTCTCCTGCTTCCTAGCAGGAGCCAGTCTGTTCTAACTTCCCTCTCCACCCTCTGCCCAAGAGTCCTACAATGCCAGCCTGGGTTGACCACCCGTTCCTTCCTCTAGACATTTCACTGGCTCCTTGGGGCAGATTTCCACTCATCGTAGCCTATTTATAAAATGTCAGTGTCAGTGACAGGGAGAGATTTATGTCTGGAGTAACACCCGTTGAGGTTTATGTGTTGTTTTGAACGAAGGGCCAAGGATCACTCACCACATCCACAAGCTGAGATATCTTTAATCCAAAATATACTTTTATGATGTCACTGGAATTCAACACAGGACGAACCCATTTCTGGTAACCTTGGAACAAATGTCTGAGGAGTGCATCTTCGTGTTCAGCTACTGAGCTGAGCCCCGCAGTGGCTGTAAGAGTCACCCAGGAACCTGAATTAAAAGAGGAACAGACGAGCTGGTTCAGCATCCTGCACCTGAAGCCTCCATCAGTTTCCCATGGGCTGAATCAGCAGAGGCTCTGAAGCAAGGTGCCCTGATCCCCGCTCTCTACCTGTACCCTACTTCCCTGTACCACACTGGCAAAACCAGATTCTATGATTTCCCAGAAACTTCTCATCACTGTGTACACACGTAGGTCTCTGAAGTGTCACCTGTAGCTTCTCACCTTACCCTCCATTTCAGATCTCACCACAAATGCCATCTTCTTATAAAACTGTGCATTGCCCATATGATGGCTCCTTCATGGCACCATGGATTTGTCCTTTAGCTTCTCAGTTGATCATGTATACACACACACACACACACACACACACACACACACACACATATATATATATATATATTACTCTAATATATTTATGTTATGTAATAATGCATATTATTGCATTATATTAATTATATTAATGTAATATTATATATATTATGTAATAATGTATACTACAATATTACGTTATTGTCTGTGTGTATTGTATGTATAAGCTATCATTGTATGTATATTGTATATGCATGTTGTATATATGTTGTACAAATATACATATGTAGGTGCACATCTTAATGTGTGTATATTATTGTATATATGTATGTATCACCTTCATATGTGATGTGTTGTACATATATAGTTTTATCATGTTTGTGTTGTATGAATACTTACATGTTCTCATTATTTCCCCTCAGACTTCAAGTTGACACACACAGACAGCATGCATTACATGTAACAATACTCCACACAGACAGCATGCATTACATGTAACAATCCTCCACACAGACAGCATGCATTACATGTAAGGATACTCCACACAGACAGCATGCATTACATGTAACAATATTCCACA